TTTTTTTTTTTTTCCTTAGTTTGGCGATTTGGATTGGTTTGTTTTAAGTTTATGCTTTCTGTAAGCATATACTTATTTACAATCATAGCGTGGTTGAAATGTACATTTGGGTCTATATTGTATAACTCGCATATATTTAAGCTGTTTAGGCGATGAAATTGGTGAAGGCAGGCTATGGAATCAAGAGTAATGAACTACAGAGGCGAACTTTTTAAAGAGAGGACGGACAATTAATATGTTAAGATCTTCTCGATCAATTATTTTTCTAGATGTGGAAAGATCGCTTCTTTTAATATGCTAACATGGTTAGATCATTTTAGCTGCTTACTAATAGGGTAAGATTGATAAATCAATTATTTCACTGAGATTAAACATTTGTGTCTTGGTAACACCGAGTTCCCTTGATAGCTCTATCATTCTTCGCATGGCGACTAATTATTTTCTTGCAATCAATGGTACATATAAGTGGACGTTCATTAAATCAATTTGGGTTCTTTGAAACTAAATACATATGGAATTTGCGGTTCTGGGGCTAATGTATTTGGTTGTATCAGGTGCTACCCCGCAACAGCCACAATTCATTCTACCTGCACATAATCTCCAATTCATGCCGAGTGGCGGTTCTGACCAAAATGCTGGATGAGGGATTTGAACTTGGCAAGTTTTCTTGTTCAAGTTTATTTTTATACATTTTCTCGGCTTGAGCATATGAATATATTACTGGATTAGTGTTAAATTTTTATTTATATCTTCTCAAATCTCAGGTTCCCTTAGTTTGCAGCAGGACTAAGAGCAGCTGTACTGCCACTTGATTGCCAGGCTTCAAATCTAGCCTTGCAAATGATTTGTTGCGCATTCTAGTGGTATCTTACTACTTCCCAGTGTCTTTTCTTTGATTTAAAACACAGCAACCGAAAAAAATAATTCCCGATGAGCTTCTAGTCCATTGTGCTATCTTCGCCTTTGATTAGTCAATTGTCTCACATAGGATGAAAGCAGATCGAATAATTTTTAATTTTAGTCGAATTGGAAATATATTTATATTGGTTTAGGTTACAACGGCGAACATCATGAGAAATCATGACAGGGTAGCAAGAGCATAACTTAGAATTAGAGTAGATTACCAAAACTATCTCTGATGTGTAGCCGAATTCGCAAAAACTCAGATAAGAAAAGCTAAAAAAAAAAACATCGTTGATAATGAATTACACCGACCGACATTATTTATTGTTATTAGAAATTTCTCCTTGCTTTGGTGTGCCCTTTCTTCAACTATTTTATTTATTTATAAACACTTTCCGGGCGTGTGCAGGTCGTAAAATTGTCACACTCACCAGACAAGTCAAAAATCCGAGCCCCTCATGGTGGAGGGAAAAACTTCTTGTATATTTAAAAACCTCTTATTGTAATTCTCTGCTAGCCTTCTGGCTACTGATGTAACACCCCGCTATGTCATAAATATCAAAGTTAAATTTTTGCAAAACCTTTTAATAAAAAATTACCGATTTGTTTGCGAAATCATGTTTCAGAGTGCTACCGTGACAATAACATTATCTTGAAAACCGTTAATTTAGTTTTAAAGAAAAACGGTTTATCGTAACATAATAACTGACTGAAAATCGGATCAACTAAGTTTGGCAAACAGTCGTAATAGCGGAAAACATAGCGTGGCCAAAATGTTTTTAAACACATAACAAAAATCCTGAACCGACCGCCAGCTCGCTCCTTGACTCCGACCTTATGACCTGAAAAACATGAATAACGTGGGGCTTGAGCACTAAATCCACTGTGCTCCGCAGGAACTCATACTAAAGTAAACAGTGAATATAATAACAATATCATGATCCTGGCATATACATAAACTGAACATGAAACCGGTATTGAATAATCATAACCTGATAATCATCACATGACCGTTACCTCATCTGCCAGCATAAAAATGCCGGACTTCATGTGCACACTCTAGTGGGCAGACTAGGCCACTAGAACCTAGAATGGGCCGGCGACCATTCCAAGCGGATACATCACATGATAATACATACCTCAAACATGGTAGAGTAATTATAATCAATGTAATACCCAGTCTGAGTCCCCACCTGATCCGTCGAAATGAAAAGGCAGTGCTGATAATCATAGCCTGATCAAACTGAAAAATAATATAAACAATTACTAAATACTATGCTCAGACTAATAAAAATAGCTTTTTAATATGTTAAGATGATCTCCTGAACTTGACATGATATTTGGAATGAACCGGAACTGATTTAATATGGAATTGAACTGATATGAATTTACTAAACTGAACTAAACCTAGAAATTTATCTGAAAATGGAACATAATCATGAACCGGGACTTAAACTATTAAAATACACGCTGAACCGGTCTGAATCGGTCAGCTTCCGATCTGGCCAGACCGCCGGCCTGCTGTGGCCGGGCGGTCGGCCGCTGGCTCGGCCAACGGGCCT